GAATTCTCGAACTAACGTGAATTTTTATGTACCCCGACCCTTTTCTCTTCACCAGCACTCACTTTTATATCGAAATTTCCTGTTATCATTTTTTCATCTAAGCTCACTTTCGAAACTTTTTTACCTCCTTGACGAAATTATTGCAGGTAATTCTTAAATCACAGCTTAAATTCGAAGATTTCGGAGGCTCAGAATTATTCAGTACATCCAGGGAGTTAACAAGAAATTAATTTACTAAATACATAAATCAACCTCCTGGATATGAAAGTTCAGTTGAAAACTTCAGGTTTCCCTGTTTTCCCTGGCCGATGGACAAAGGCAATTGAAATCAAATTAATAAAGGCTGATAGTTCCTAAAGAAACTGTTTGGGGCTGCGTCGGTGGGGGTAACGAAATAATTTGGATATATCAACAAAGTTGAAATGGTAAATTGGCCACCACAACGATTACTAACGCTCGAAACGTCAGCTTTTGTAATCGTTACGGTGGCCAATTTACCATTTCAACTTTGTTGATATATCCAACTGATAGACAGAAAAGGATGTAGGACTGAATAAGTCCCAAATGCCATGAATGACAGGGAAGAATGGACGAAACGTGTTATGGAAAACCGAGCAAGCTCGACCCGATGATGACGATGACGGGTAATGGATTCTAAAGATGCAGGTATAATGTCGGTTGTTATCCATTTAATTTATTGAGGGTAATTAAAACTTTCACACTACTATTGGGTAATTGATAACCCAGTTAAAATTTGATGAAATCTTGCCTTGATTCAATATTGGTTTCAATCGTATTGTAATCGTAAAATACTGCAGGTATGGTACGATTTTGTTTAGTGATAACAGGCAATTCTGCCCTTTTTTTTTATCCTTGGTAATAAAATTTCGGTGGGGTCCAAATGGATATTTGGTGCGCTAAATGATAGAAATTCAATCAAAACAATTACGTACAATACACGGCTAAACAAAATAATTTTAACTGCGAGAATCGTTTTTCGTTTAGTTCCCCCTTTACGTGGGGTCAGCTAATCTAAACTTGCACATTTGGATATATAATAAAACAGTTAGATAAAATTGTGTTACAATCAGTAGAGATTATTCCATGGAAAGTGCTTGCACGATTTTTATTCACGAGTTTCGATACACCGAAAAAAAAAAAAAAAACCCAACGAGTGAGCGCAGCGAACAAGTGAGTATTTTTTTTAATCAACGCATACACACTGAGATTTTTTCTTATTAACTGACAAATTTCCATGATTGGGAGCGAACGAATGTGAAAATAAATCGTTTGTTCAATCAGGGACACCAACAATAGTACTTCACAGTATAAATCTCATTATGTATGACATAAAAGAAAGACTTTGTCACGGG